TTTGTGTAGAGGCAGCAGGCTGTCATGTGGAAAATGGATCAGATGTTCAAGAAAGCAGTCCCTGCCTGTGGTCTTCTAGTGCTAGCTCTGACATAAAGGTAAAATACTGTGTATTTCCACTGCTTCAGGAACCACCACATCCATATCTTGGCCAGGCTATACTGGAACTGACTCTCAGCCCTGAGCACCTCTGGGAGAATGTGGCCCTGCCTCAGCATGCTCCCTCCTCTGGTCACAGAGGCTGAACCGACCTATGAGCTCTTAGAAGGGTCCAGTGTCATGTCATATTAAAATCCCCTTTGAGGGATTTGTGTGCTGCCTTTTTCTCAACTTCAGTACTTAAACTCTGCAAGATCCCCTCAAGTCCCTGTGGCTTCTCACTGCTGCTGTGCAGGGGTCAGGGAGAGCAGAACTGAAGCCACAGTTTAAGCAGCTTGCTCTCATTTTCATTTCACAGGTTTAGCGTGGCTGGTGGAACTCACATGTCAAACCACAGCAGTCATCCCAATCTTTGCTGCCTGGGCATTGGCTGGCTGCATTTCTGGAAAGTCATGGTCATAACATACACCTATTTTTTGAGTTTCCATTAGGAACAGGTTCTGTCAGGCATGATGGCATTCACAGGAGCTCAGGAGGCAGGAAAATGTGAAAAAGTGTTTATGAGACTCGGCATAAATCACAACTCTCAGGGTTTTCTCCCCTCTTTCATTAAAAAAAACACAGAGCAGCCATTCCCCACATCTACTCCTCCCCGCTCCCTCCAGACATGATGAATCCCACTCTAGCTGTAAATTGGATCCCAGGTGTACCCATGTATACTATACATACATAACAGCTACTTATGGGCATAAAGGCTCATGCACAGTTACTGTGGAAACGAAGGTATCACATTTCCTGGCTCTTAAGACTCTACCTTCTCAATCTCAGCATGCATTTACCTTGAGTAAATCACTTCTGCACTCTCCAGCCTAGAAACATCCCTTAGGAGAGTGCGTTTGGGTTCATCTTTAGGAGGCTCCACCTAACCCACTATCAACCAAGAACGCAGGACTGCCTCCAACCCCACACAAGTTAGGGTACAGGAGGAAAGCATCCTTCTGTAGACAGAGACTGATTTGCTCTTGCACAGCACAGCTCCAAGGGGCATCAACCACTCCTGGGGTGACCACTGCAGGTACTGCTGGCAGACACATTCCCCTGCAGCTCCTCTCACTGCCTGGACAGCATCAGGGCACTGCTTTCCCTCCTGACAGCTAAAGGTTGAACTTGGCTCTGGAGGAAAGGGGAATCATTTACCAGCTACTGAAATACAGCCCAGTCTGGATAGGGATGCAGCAGTGTGGAGTGGCAGAAGACAGGATGCAGTGTCTTGAAGTGAATGTCATCACATCCTGCTAAGGCTCCAGAGGGACAATGTAAGGACACTTGCACATAAATTTCTTCCAGTTCTGGCCACGACCACACAAGAACCCAAACACACTTCAATGCAAAGGGCAAATTCAGCCCAGATGTAACCTCAGGGACTTCAGCAGAGCCCACTGTGGGGCTGAGCCTGACCCACCTCATCTATGTGTAAGCACAGCTCAGAAATTCCCCCATGGGTAACTGCTGCACACACACAGCTTGTCACAGGGATGCTGATGCTGTCCTGTAAGAGGCACCTCAGCATCCAGCACGGCATTAAAAACATTCACAACAGCCAAGTGAGACACTGAGGTGATACTGTGCTGGTGATAGCAGCGGCTTTTGGAGGCTCTAGGGCTGCTGGGCACTGTGAGACTTCATTTGCTCCCCAAACCACTCGCTATGCACATGAACTAATAAATCCATAAGCTGAAACATGAAAGGCATCACCAATATACAACAACGTGACTTGTTACAACCCTTTCACACTTCCCAGCACACACAGGCAGGGCCTCTTCCTATAACAAACCAAGCAAAAACAAGACCTGGCTCAAATGGGATGCCAGAAAGTCAAACTGTACTTACTTAACTTTTGCACTGCTGAAACAGCAAAGATCCTGTCAAAAAGAGAGTTCTTTCCTTGTTACCTCTGCGGAACACAGGAAGGTAAGTTTGCACACTGTTACCCTCAACAATAATAATGCAGCTTCTTTCTTTCCTTGCCATCTTTTGGCTTCTTGAAAAAGCCTTCTCTGCCCTTCTCTCCTGCTGGCAGGTTGTGCTGTTTGTCAGGGATCCCTTTTCTCCTTTTACATCCTACTGCCCACATCCCGATCTGTTCCTCCTCTCGGTGCTCATCCTTCAGCTAAGCTTAGCAGGACTTTCTCTGCAGACCATAATCACTGCTCCGATTATGGGTGTTAGGTGTTGCAGGCAGATGCACAGCCCTTCCTCTCCCACACCCAAAATCCCTGCCAAACTCTGGGTTAGGAGTATCAGACCGGATCTTGAAATCAAACTCAGGGTCTTGCATGATAAATCAGAGCAATTGCTGGGGCTTGGCTGTACCTCCTTTACCTATGGCAAAGGTGGGGTGATTGATGGTTTGACAGCACTTCACCTATAGTACAAACGTTACCGTATTAACAATCATTGACAAAAATTGTGCTTGTTTTGATGGGAAACTGAAGCAAGTCCTTGAAAAGCACCTCCTGTCTCACGGAAAAACCTCCCTACAACTTTGCTGGCATCCTTCTGAATCCCGAGGTTTTCCCAGCTGGAGCACCTGCCCAAAGAGAGCTGGCCTGGGGCTGCTCCAAGCCTTGAACAGCCAAACATGAAGTAAATAAGTTCGATCTCTCTGCCCTTTATTGCTTCCTTATGATACTGCACGAGCCCTCCCTGCACTAATATATCATCTCTGTTCCGCTCCCCACACCACACAGTCACAAGAAATATCTGGGTCTGCCTTCCCTCTGTTTTGCTGGAGGATTCTCTGAAGGACTGAAAGTTGAATAGTGGTACCACAATAGGCTGAAGCCGAAGGTTCAGCTTTCCAGCCCTTAGACAGACTCAATGCCCCTCTCTAACTCAGTTGGAAAGCTGCAGCTCAAATTTCAGCCTATGTTAAGTCACTGTTCAGTTCTGCTCCTCCAGCAAAAGAGAAGGAAGCCAGGAGAGCTTTTTTCTGAAGCAAAAAACAGGGAGAAGGGGGGAGAAGGGTGGAGGAAGGAGATGTTTTTTTTTTGTGCATCAGAAGGAGCAATGAAAGGCACAGGCAACTTTTCAAACATGCCAGAATAGTTCAGTGTGACTTGTAACCAAGAGAAGGTTGAATAAACAGCTCCAACAACAAACATCAAACTTTTTTGTGGGGTGGAGACAATTAAGACAGCAGTGACCTGCCTGCAGACCCTGCTACCACCTTGCTGACTTCTGCAGAGGATAGAGGCATTTGCATCGTTTTGTATCACAGAACCATCAGTGTGAGCTTCTGACACCCAGCATCTCATCAAGGGGAGACAAAGACTGGACATGGGCTTCAATGTGATCTCGCTGCTGCCCCACATCGCAATCTACAAATGTAACAGCCCAGTCAGTCCCCCAGTGCTGATGGAAAGTGCCTGACCCCACACACCATCCTAAACATGCTTAGTATTGGCTTGCATGAGAGTAAAGAACAGTAGAGACAAACCCAGAGTGGCAAGGAGATGCCTTCCTCACTGGTTTTAGGCAAACTAAGAGTATTCCTCTGAAGCCTGCCAGCCCAAGCTCAAGGAATCGAAACTCCATTCCTAATTAACACATCATCAGGTCCCACCAGCCAGGGACTTGCCTCCCAGGAGGAGATCCTGGGCCAGCCTAGATGATGAATGAGACCTCAAGCAGCTGAATTGTTTCAAAGGCTAAACTGGCAACTGCAAGGCCAAGCAGGCTTGGAAAGGCATGCAGAAACAACAAAATAAGCACTAGAGTTACTGGGTTTTTGTTGTCTTTAGCTCCGAGCCCTGCACTCTTGTTTCTGCTGCAGCGCTTTCCCTCAGTTAAGTACTCTGCAAAGCCCATAGCTACAGGAGCAGCTCCTCCTCTCCTGAAATGCAGCCACTTCTCCAGTGAAAACCTCACCACTGCAGACCGCTGGAGGGAAACCCATTCTGCCAGTTTAACCCCAGCAAACTTGCATGAGTAAATTCAATTGATCTGCCCCACTCGGGTCATTTACGTAAGACCAGCCTGCTCGGATGCTTGAGGTCCCCTTACTGCAGAGTTCTTGCACACCAGGTACAGCAGCTCTGTTTCCCTGCATGACTATTATAAACACTGAGAAGAAACAGTCTAGCATTTGCAAAGATCTGCATTTTGACTGTTCTTTGACACAGCAGAATAGCACTGACACGTCTACTGCAGCGATACCTCCCAAACACACACCGTGCAAGGTAATTTCTCTGTCTGCTGGCAGCTTTCCACACTGCTAAGCTCTAGCTGTCCCTTCAGCCACAAATGCCCCAGCAGAGGCAGCAAGTTCTGCTCTATTATTGGAAGACTTCGTGGAGCACATCCTCCACAAGCCAACTACCTCCCCCCTTTCAACTGAGCGAAGTGAGTATTAAAACGCAGCAACTGTCTCCCATTCAAACCAGACGGCATAAATAGCTGGAGAGCTATCAAACGAAGTACACATTCAATACTTCGCTGTAACATGAAAGCTCTGCTTAGCAAGTGGGTGCACACTTACACACCCGTGCTCAGGGACCAAAGCAATGGCAGAAAGTGCTCCATTAACTCCTCTAGTGGCTTAAGTGTCTGTCGACACTCAGGACATTCACACAGCACAAGCACTGGCCAAAGTTCTGTGGCTTGGGCAGTCCTTGAACTCTCCCGGAGCTATAAATTGCAGCAGGCTGCTATCAGGAACAAGGGACGCTGGCGACTGGCAAGTTGATTAAGACCATCACTTTGAGTCCCTCATTTTCAGCTGCCTTAAGAAAAAGGCTCCAGAAACCTTATGCTCTAACAACACCTAGAGTGCAATTCCCAGCCCTGTCCAGCTCTAGGGATACAGATGGAGCTTCAGAACTCAGCTCCAGCTCACTTACCTCATCCATTTTTTCTGACGTTGGAGTCTGATCACCAGGCACCATTTCTTTAGCCTCTGAAGTCTCAAGTTTGGAGGTCCTGCTCAGCTGGTCAATGGGAGTCATGCTGGCCTCCGATGTCCCCCGGGAATTCTGACTCAACGAAGCTGTCCCAGGGATAGGCTCGTCGTCGTCAGAGTCAGGTAACGGCGTGGGGCTGATGTCCTCCAGGCCTGTGCTGGAAGGGCGCGAGGAAGGTGTCTGACCTCTGTAACCAGGCTGGGAGTTTGAACCGTACATTGGGATGGGAGAGAGCTGGGAAGAAGAGGAGGAAATGGGGCTACCTTCCATTCGGATCTCGTTATCTGAGTCATGCTCATTCAGAAAGGGTAACTTTGTTCTCTGCTCTTTTAAGAGCATCTCAATCCTTGAGTCTAAACTGTTATGCTGCATTTCAGACTCCATGGTGGGGGTGCCAGGGGTCTCGCTTCTCTCTGGGGTCTGAGAGAAGGATGCTGTGCTCGGTTCAGGAGCAGAGTTCGATTCGGGCAAGGGTGGAGGAGGCTCCTCCTGTTTCTCCTTCACTGGGACAAAATCGATGTTAGGAGCAGCGCTGCTTTCCACAACCATCTCAGTGGGAGGTGGTGCAGGTCTTCGATACTCTGCTTCCCTGGAAGTTTGGGGAAATGGCTGCTCATCGGCTTGGGGAAATACAGCTGGTGCTTGGTAGGGAGAGAAGGCAGATTTGTAGCTCGAAGAACTAGAGTGGCTCAGGGGAGGAGTGTGAGAGAACTGAACTGGCTCCGGCTGATGGGATTTGTAAGTACTAAACTGATGCTCCGTCCCTCGGAAAACACCCACTGAGTTATGGACATAGTGATGTCCCGGCCGACGGTTGTAGGCATCCGTAAATTTAGTTTCATGTCTCCTGGGTTTGTACCCACTGTCCTGCCCAAAGTGGTACACGGGGGTTGTCTGACGACTAGAATAGGTGGAGTCCTGGGAGAACGGCGTCCCTAACCGTGGGGTGTGAGGTGTTCCTTGGGACTGAGGGGTAAACTGGCTGTAGGAGTTTGGGGTGTCTTGCCGACAGCTGGAATAGGCTGTGTCATGGGAAAACGGGGTGCTGCTGTTGGGGGTGACAGAGGATCCCGCAGAGGACAGGTTACTGTCTTTCAGGCGCTTCAGGGAATCCGTCAACTACAAAAGCAGAAGAGAGAATTATCCATTATTGACAGCTCCCTTGGATTTGAAAGGCAAGCAAAGAGGAACTTGTCTGTAAGAGGAGGAAGAAGAAAGCAGATACAACAGTATTCCTTATGAGCTACACCCAAGAGCATCAGGTGAACGGGAGACTTGCACAACGCTTTCAGCTAAACGTTTCATTTTCAGCTCTGTAAGGCTTGTCTAAATTGCAAATAGGAAAGATAATCCAGAAAATTCCGAGCTATGAAATTATCAATTTATCTTTTTTAATGTGAACAAATCAAAACCTACAAATCAGCAAACTGCAACCAAATCTATGCTGCAGGGCTTTGTGCTGGTCCAGCTGAGGGAGCTGAGCCACAGACCTCTCTACCGAACGTTCATCTCTAGGAAGAAGGGAGAAGGTTAGAGGTATAAAAGGCACAGAAAAGCTCTCTACAGCCAGAAATACCTTTTTAAAGACAAATGCTGAAGTAGAGCCCTACTGATCATGGCATCTGAAACTGAAACCCTACAAGGCTACAGAGCAACAAGTAACTGCTCTGCAACTCACTTTGTAGGCACATTCAGGGGGTTTCTAAGAGGAGCCCTGCTCCAACTCAAGGCTCTGCTGAGGCGTAACAGTGCCACTCTAATGATTAACACCACAATCAATGCTCTACAATGCAAAACAAGACCTCAGTGAGAATCTACCTTGTAGCAAAAGGCAGGACTGAGCTCCAAATCCCCAAAAGGACAGTGAACTGGAGAGACTACAGACTGGCTGCTCTCCCAGAGCACAGGTGGGTGGAGACAGCCTTAAAACTATCTGTTTGTAATACACCAGCACCTCCAAAGCTGAGCTCTCTCCCCTGCCTGCTTCACACACCACATCTCACCCACTCAATAGTGTGGACTTGCTCTTGGTGTGACCCCCTCGAGACCATGACCACATGGACGTCAGGGAAGTTTAGTTTCTTCCTCAACTGTTCTAAAACCCACAGAAAGGGTCAAGAACCAGCCACATGCTTCCTGCCAAAATCCACATCTCTGCACCTTTGGTGTAGGTATGATGTGGATTGTTTTTCAGTGGGGTCTGGATATAGTCTGCAGGCAGGGATTGTGGCTCATAGAACTGTCAGGTCTTTGTTGCTCTGCATGAGGGAGAAAGCAAATGTCAGGAGTATTTTACTAAACTACAATAGCAAACAAGTTCATTGGCAGATTCTAGTGACAAGAACATGCTGCAAACAGTTAAAGTTCCCCACAAAGCAATAAATTTTGATGGTAATTGGAAAAAAAAATCAATTCAGGATAATGATATAATACATGAACACAAGATCTAGGGAAACAATCTTAAAGACAATTACAGCAGGGACTGCTATGGGGGATACCATCAATTTTTGCTGTTAACCCTGAAAAAGGAGTAAGAACAAACCTGTGCATTTTCATTTGAGATGTGCAACCAGCAGAAATGAAAAGCCAGGCCCTGCTCATAGCAGGGCTCTCAGGAAAATCATTACTTGCCTCACTCCTGTCTTTAAAAATACCTTGCTAGGAGGTAAGGAAGGATCAGCCTTTTTATGATTCTCTTAAAATGATACTGGTGTTTTGCCTTTTTGCTGGTGGAGTAGTTGGTGGGAGAAGAGAATTTTATTGTTTTTCAGATCAATGGGATTTTCACATTCAATGTGCAGCTCTCCCCTATCCTGAAAACATCTGATCAGGGAATTAATGAAATTCTGGCATTTTAAAAACTCCTAAGAATGCAGAGAATTAGAAAGAAGAGGGAATAAAAGAGAAATCTCTGCCAAATCTCTTTCAAATTTGATGCCTTAAAGTGAATTCCTAAGCCACAATCAGGAGCCAAGGTACACTCAGACAAGCCAAGAACGCTTAACGACTTCACACAAACAGGCTTCACTTCCCCTTTGCCCTCTCATCCCAATGGATTTTGCAAGGGAGCAGGTAACTGTAAATGCCATTTAGAGAATCATACCCTAGATACCAAGGGACCCCTGGAAGCCCTCAGGAATTCCATCCACTGCTTTTATTAGCAACTGATTCCAGTGACTAATTAAGATTCTGGAAAATTGATGCCACTATTCAAGAGCAGACACATTCTATCACTCAGCCTTTAAGCAAGGCTGAAGAATGTACGCGCTAAGGATTACACACTGCAGATACTTGGCCAAATGTACCACTGTAAATCATTCCCCCTGACTTCAAGGGAATAACCTCATCTCAGGGACAGACCCGATCCAGTCATAACTGCAGGAATTTCTAATGTTAATAGGGCACATACTGTCAGCTCTATAAGCATTTTTCACTCAAAGACAAAAAGCACTTACCATGCTATGCAGACACCAGCATACAGATTAGCCACATGAACTGCATTCACAGAGTTACATTTGCTATGGCAATTAGAAGCAAGTTATATTTAAAGTTAATTAGTAACATCCACTGAAACTATAGCAAGACAAAAAAAAAACAAAGAGAAGCTAAATTAAAAGTGTCAAAATGCCCACATTAACAATGCATGGTTGGAATTTTCTAGAAAGTTATTCCTAAAACCAAACTAGCAGACATACCTGGAGAGTCTCATTCACAGTTGGCGACACGTCCTGTTCGGTGCCCACAGGGAGGGTCTGAGGAGTGTAAAGACCATTAACAAGCAGTTCATAGAACCTCATGCGGGTTTCACCTGCGCAGACCACAATGAAGAGTTGATTATAATCAGAAATAACGCAGCCCAAGCAAAAAAGAGTCTTGACACCCCTAAGACCCTGCTACCACTCCCAGCCCACTGCATCCATGCAACAGAGGAGCAGGTATCACCTCTGAGGCTCGCAGGGATCAGTTTTAAATGACCTGCTGGGCAAGTGAAGTCAGACACTCCCTTTCCCAGCCAAGGCAAGGAGGTTTCTAAATCCATTTTCCTCTTCTCAGCCCGCTTGGCAGCTCTGCTCTTTACCATGCTTTCTGGAGAGCGGCAGTTTCCCTCTTCTCCAAAGTGCCAAGCAAATAGCTTGCAGATTTGAGAAGTGAAACTCTCACTCAAGGGACAAGCCTCTGCCAACACCCAGAGCCACTTCAGAAAGCTCTCCCAACACACCTTGCTAGTAGAAACTGGCTGTTACTAATGCAAACACAATGCTTGGGAATGCCACAGACAAAACCGTTAATGCTGCTTTCCCAGAAAGACACCAACTAATCCTTTCTTCTTTTCCCCCCAGTTTAAGGTGCGCTCGGCAGCATAATTCAAAGAGTAAGAGCCAGAGAAGCAAACTGTCCCACATACTGTTACTGAGCATTAGCCTTTTCATTCCGAAATTCTATGAAGACCCAGTTTCTTAATATTGGATTTTTTTTTATTCCCACAAAACCCCAATCCTACTGATTTTGCAGTTCTGCAAGAAATCTGTCATCAGCTTCAAAGGCAACAGAATCAGGCCCTGGAACTGTTGGAATTTTGCTCTTAAAGAATACATAGAAAAATGGACAAATCCAGCACCCGAGCCCAGAAAATTAATTCAGGCAAGATCTGCCCTTAAACAGGACTACTTTCATGAGGAATTCCTGCAGGATCAAACCTCAAACTGCCTGTGAATCACTCTGTACAATTTCAAAGCACAGCACCCTTTAGCACGATTCTGCAGACTGGAAGAGGCTCATTTATCATTTCTCTGGAATAAATGCTGCAGATGAGGTTATCTGGGTATCAAATCTCATTTCACAAAGCCTTGAGCCACAGGCTCAACTATGTAAACTGTTTTAGTTCAACTGCAAACTTTAGTCATGACAAAACGAATCTCTTCACTGCAAGATCTTGAAGAGATGCTTGAAATACTGCGCTTAAATATTAACATACACACCCCCAACATACGACTACAATGGCAGGGATATGGATGTGTCAGGCTTCCTCTAAAACCTGTTTCCAAATAAACACAAAGTAATTGTTAGAAAGATAGAACGTTTCTTCCTGGATCTCCAGCATAATGCAACAGAAGTTACAATTTCATTTTTAAGGAGGTTTATGAATGTGAAATGATTCCTAACTGTTTCTCTAAGGAGAATTATTAAGTGTGTCCATTTTACAGATGAATAAACTGAGGCAGAGAAGTTGCTTTAAACTAGCCTGCCTCATATGAAGAGGCCGGACTTACTACTTCCAAATTCCCAGCTTTGTGTTCTGGCCAGACAGATAAAAACACCACATTGACACCAAATACCTATTTGCTAGACTATGAAAATCAAGTTTTTAACCAACCTTTCATTCTCCTGAAAAGCTAAATCCTAGAAAGACACATTGAAAACTCTACATTATCTACTTTAAGAACGTCCTAACCTGCTAATGCTATTTCAGGAATAACATTTTTACTTGATTCTGACAGATTATAGCACACTGACAGTCTTACTCTTTTAGAATGAAAGAGATGCAAGGGGAAAAAAATACATTAGAAGCATAGAGCTGGCAAGCAAAAATGCAATTCAAAACTAAGACTTCCATGTTTTCTCCCAAGAAACAGAAGCATAAAAGCCCCTCATTTGCCTGACGTGCAGCTAACTTTCCTTAACAGCTGCCGGCTCAAGGCTTGCAAAGTAGTTTATCAAGGGAGAAGCAGGAATGTTGTACAATCAGCTTGTTTAAAATGCCTCTCATTAAGATGTGCACCACTTATGAGCCTTCTATAGCTTATGTTATTAAATCTACAAATGGTTAATTTGTTCTTAAGGCTAATTTTTACCTTCAAAGTAAGCAGGGGAAGGAGCCAGTCTGTAAAAACTAATGATACTAGAATTTCAAAGTACACATATGCAAGGGTCAAACTTAACTCACAATAGAAAATATTACACTGCTACCGTGGTTTTTCTCTAATGGTGATCAGTCATGTCAATAAACATCCTACTATACCCTCTTACTACATGTGGCATGCCAAGTGCTGTGGAGGTTGTGCACTAAATCACTGAAACCTTTTAATATCAGAACAAAAATACCAGCATTTTTAAGAAAATGGTGTTAACAATGTCCTCTTTGCAAGGAAGAGTGCAGCTAGTCAGTTCTGAACTAGAAATGCCATGCTTGGAACGAAGAAGTGTAAGTAGTAACTGACTTACACCTCTTCATATACAGAAATTTACTAAAATTTAGGCACATTTTAGCTAAGCTTTTCACTGACAAGCTTGGAGGAAAGAGAAAAAGACAAAGCAGTGAAATACAGTGCTTCCAGAAACTTTATTGGGCTCCCTGGGGCTGAGGGCTGGTTACCTCCGGGACTGGAAGCTCCTGTCGCTTTAAGAGACAGTCTCACACTTACACACTCGCACACACTGACAAGTGCTGTGTGTGCACTCTTTTGCTGCCAGCCTCCAGTTTGCTGCTAAGTATCAATGAAATGCCAGGCACGCAGAGGACAGCACCCGGCCCCGCTGCTGCCAAGAGAATCCAGACGTTTAGGTCCAAGGAACCTCCAAGGTCTGGCCAAAACTCCCAGGTTTGCAAAAAGCAGGTGCCACAGGGTCCGGTAGCCCTGGGAGGTGGCTGAGCAGGGTAAGGCTGGGACATGGAGCTGGGGCACACGACAGACCTCCGAGAGCAGGGGACAGGCAAGGGACAGGCAGGGGATGGGCAGGATGGCAGCATTTTGCAAATTACAGGGCTGTCTCCTAGCAACAGACAACACATTTGGCTCCACGTGACTTGCAAAGGCCCCAGGAACCAGACCAGCTCAGGGGGACAGCAGCACTCCCTTCGGACTGGAAACCACAAGACCCTCATCACCTCTCGTTTTAGGAGGGGGACGGGCAGCATCACCCCAAACCACAAACACATGAGGCCGAAATGTGGCCCCTTACCTTTTGTATCCAGCTCCACGTGGATGATGTTGCCCATGACAGAGGTGTTGTGAAGGTGCTGGACAGCCTCCCGGGCTCCCTTGACAGTGGCAAAGATCACTTTGGCAATGCCCAAGTGCTTCTTGTTTTTGGGGTTGTAGAGAATCTCCACCTCCTCCACTTCACCGTATTTCTTGCACATGTCAGTCAGGAAGTTTTCACGGATGTTGTCGTTCAGCTTGGCAAAGGTGACCTGCTTGGGGGGCACTGGCCCCACGTAAAACTCATCAATCTGGAAACAGGCACAAGGTAGAGGGGTGATATCGTCAATGGGCATAGGGGAAGTTAATGGGAAGGAGAGGGTTAAAGTATCCTGCAAACTTTAGGGAAAGAAAACTGCCTCCAAGGGTCTGAGATGAACCCGGAGCTGTGCAGAGCCTCTGCTGCTGCAGCCATTCATTGAAACCGATGCCTTTTGGGGCTACAAATGTGTGTTTTGAGCAGCGCTGTCAGCGGAGAGCCCTCCTCCACTGCCCCCTGCCCGAGGAGCCCCCCAAGACACAGCTCCAACACCTTGAAGCAATCTCGTCAGACAGCTGCATTGATCCCTCCTTATCTTTATAGAAAATGATTATTGTTTAACAGTTTGCCAAATAATAATGCTACTAAGAGCATGACTGTCATTTAAATGGTCCATTAAACTATTTGGAACTGAGGCTTCACTCCCAGATAAAACAAGAATACAGAGCTAAACCCAAAAGTCAGGGCTGTACCTTGAATTTGGGGACAGACAGCTCCAGCTCTTTAGTTTTGGTCCATATTCGCCCTATTCTGGGATCCCTGACACAATCCACAGGAGCGATTCCCGAGTTCTAGGAGGAGGAGAGAAAGCACAAAACCAGCAATAGCAGGGCTTGAAACTGAAGATACAAGGAAGAAAATAAACCCCAAGGAAGCCCGGGCTGTCTCGGGGGAAGGGGAAAGCACACTCACACACATAAACGCACGTGTCAAATTGCAATACTGCTGGGAAATGCACACAGATTGGAAACACGGCAATAAAGCCGCAGGTTTGGGCTCCTGACAGTTGAATACAGTGTCAGGTGGCGGTAACTTCGGTGGCTGCGTCTGTCCCCCCAAAACCCCCCTCCCATACACAAGAGCTACAGCGGGGGTTACCACGACCCGGAGGGCCCCCCCAGACCCCCAAAACACCGGTAAGAGAGAGGAAAAGGAATGCTGAGGGGGAGCACAACACAATGGGGGAAACCAAAGACCCCCCCCACTCACAGGCATGCTGAAATGTTGCCCATCGTAACGGTAGAGTTTGTGCTGTCCTTTTTTCAGAGCTGGGTCAATAATCAACTTGTAACTTCTCCAATGGTGATTTCTTTTCTCGACAGAAGTGCTGGCTTGCGTGCTGTTCTCCATTCCGTTGATCCAACCTGGCGCGGGGGGGGGGGGGGTTGGGGGGGGGGGTGGTGAAGAAGGGGGAAGAGGAGAGAAAAAACATACGGAAAAACATAAAGTTAAAAAAAAAATATTCAACAAAGACCTCTTCGTCGTCGGTTTTTTTTTAAAAGAGCCGCCCGCTCTACACACCCAGGCAGGGAGGAAATCCACCGCGAAGAGAGCCCTAAAATGGGGGAATTGCCAGCCGGGTCCCCCCTCCACCCCAGCCAGACAAGAGGCAGAGAGGGAGGAGGAGAGAGGAGGAGGAGGGGGGGGGAGGGGGGGGAAAGACCCAATCTCACTTGAACTCTGCTTTTTGCCATGATCTTCAGGGTGCTTGGCTTTTTCCCCCGCCTTGATCTCTCGGAAAGACATCGCGCTCGGCGGCCGATCGTCTCCGGGCGGCGAAAGGCGAGCTCCCGTCTCACATGGGGCCGGTTACCGGCGCGGGCTGGCCGCCAGGCTCCTGCCTCCCGTTTTCGCGAGCCACCACATATTGTGTGTGCTCGCTGCTGGCGGCGGCGGCCTCCCACAATCCACCGCTGCGAGCGCCGCGAACGCCTAACCGCCCTCCGCCGCCTGCACATTCACGGCGGCCGCGCCGCGCAGCCCCCGGCCCGCGGCCGTTCCCCGCCGCCCCGCCGCCGCCGCGCACCGCCGCATGGGCCGCCGCCGGGATGGGTTGATTTTTTTCCTCTCCCCGCCCCGGGGTTAACGGCGTGCGGGGGGACGAGTGGAATCTGCCCGCTGCATTTACCTTAGCGCAAACTGTTTCTAAACAAGATGGACCTATAGGTGGGACAAGTTATTTTTTTCTTAGGGGGAAGACTTCACCGAGCCCGGGCCGGGCGTAGCGCGCCGCCCCGCTGCGGCGGGGAGAAGGAAAAGGGGGGGTGTCGGCGGAGAGGGGGAGCGCTGCCGTTCGGCGGCACTACGGCTGGGGACAGGGGTAAAGAAGGGGGAGCAGTTTTGCTTATTAAAGGTCCGTGGCCGGCGGCAGCCAATCAGCGGGGAGCTTCCATTTTGTTTTCGGTATTAAAGGCCGGGCGGCGCGGGTCCCCCCGCCGCTCACCGGGGCGCGGAGCACGGGCGGTGCGCGGTGCGCGGCTGCACACTCGGTCCTGCGGGGTCCGCGGCGAGCAGCCCGGGCCGGGAGCCGGGTAATTGGTTGTTGTAAAGGCAGCGGGGCGGCCGCAGCCAATGGGCTCGCAGCTTCCATGGGGCTTGAGTTATTAGACGGCGGTGTTAACGCCATCCTTCAGCAGACGGCTGAGGAGAGGCC